GGACAGGAAGACGTCCCTGATGATGGAGGCGATGAAGTCGCAGATGCTGGAACAGTTCCAACTGCTATTCCGACAGCTTCCATCAGCTACAACCAGCGCCGGATCCATAAAACCAAATCCAACAACTCCAACACCTGTTCTGGCGGCTAACGATGTTGCTGCTGCCTACTCATAATCCCCAGTTGCTAGCGACTCTAATGTTGCAAGCTCGGATGCTGGGGTTGTGGGTAGTGGTAGCACTGTACGCCCAGACCCACAACAGGTGCTGGTGAATTGGGATCGCCCCTCATCCAGCTTCTTCAGACTGAAGACCTTCTCTGGTACAAGACCCATCAAAGCCGGAGAGGTAGCCTTTGAAGAATGGGCCAAACAAGCAAAGATTGTAACTGAAGCTCGGGCCCTCTCAGACACCGGGAAGCGACAGAAACTCCTTGGCAGCCTCAAGTCTCCAGCCTTCGATATGGCTATAGGAATCGGAGAGGACAAGACAGCAGTGGACCTCGTCACCTACCTAGGGAAACTGTATCTAGGATACAATGACGGAATGACCACACTGAAAGAGTTCTTTGCTATGACACCCAGGCCTGCAGAGAGACCATCAGAATACCTCATCCGCCTGGAGCTTGAGCTACGGAAAGTTTTGGCCCATGGAGGGGTTAGACGGGAAGATGCCAACAGCACACGCCTTCATCAGTTCCGGTCTACTAACCGGAACCATAGTGTTTATGGACTCCTGAATCTAAGGTTCCCAAAAGCATCATCCCCAGACCTCCCTGATCTCATTGATGCTGTCAAAGAAGTCGAGATGGATGATGCTATGTTCACGGCGAGTAAGGTTCGGAGTCATGTCCAGAATGCATCGACTGCTTTGGGCTCCTCTGAATATGAAAGCCTTAAGCTTGAACTCAAGGCACTGCAATCCATGATGTCGAAGTCCCACATAACATCTGGCTTGAAGACTTTAGATGCTCCAACCTCAAATCCCAAGGATACACGTTCCAAGGGCGGTAGGAGTCTGGCCCTTTTGTCACAATTGTGGAGACTATAATCATCAGAGACAGGGATGCCAAAGTCCAGCGAATCCCGCTTTGGTCTGGGAACGAATGAAGACAAGAGACAAAGAGAGACACAATCGCTCATCTAAAAAGGGTGATTTAAACTCCACCGGGCCTCTGAAACAGTAAAGGGACTAGAGGCCCAGACGATACCAACTCGTCCCTAGACATCCAATGACCACAAGAGACCTATTGGACCTGTATGTCTGCGCCAGAATTGTAAGATCGAGTTGCCACCTGAGAGGACCATGGAGCTCAGGGGCAAGAATATTTTCCCACACCTGGAGGAAGTTGAGCTTCGAAAACCTGAACCCCATGAAGTACCTCCCAAACTTGACATCATTTCAACAGGAGTGGACAATTCTGGCTGCATCATTGTCAAAATACAAAATTGTGGAAACAAAACTTTAACTATTGGATCACATCAAGTGCTGGCTAGGTGTTACACCCGGGTCAAATCAGATCTTCAAAGTGAAACACCTGGTGACCTCATAGGCTCACTCGTTGGACCGGCTTGTGAATCAAGACTTAGGGCCGAACGGAAATCTTGTACTGGACTTCTGGACAGCGGTTCTCAAGTGACTACCATTTGCCGGTCTTTCTACAAGAAACATCTGTCCCATTTGCCAGTAGAGAGATTACAGAACATTCCATTGAAAGTAGATGGTGCCGGAGGTCAACCTGTTCCATATGTTGGCTTTGTTTGGCTTACTATGTCACTGCCAAAGGAAGTTGCTGCTACAAATGAGGTCGTACATACCATCGCCTTGGTGTGCCCAGATACCTCCTTCTCCTCGGAAATCCCTGTTGTGGTGGGCACCAACACGTTCCGGAGGATAGGAGAGAAATGCCAGAAGCGAAGAAATCAGTCCTATTTATGCACCCTGCCAATAAAGAGTGAAGTGGCCCACATATTCAGCAGCATTGTTTCTGACCCTTCCGGACGCCTAGGAACAGTACGACTAGCCGGGAGGAAAAGGATAATTGTACCAGCAGGACAAACTATGGAGATCCGTGGCACGGCAAGAAAGGCCAATATTCCATCTACTGCACAAACAGTTCTGATCCAGGAAAGCCTTAACCATCAGCAGTTGTATGGAGACAGTCTTCAAGTCATGAATGCTGTTGTGTCTGTCACAGGAAGTGTCCCAAGAATAAGAGTATTAGTCGAAAATGTATCATCTCGTGACATAACCATCTCTCCTCGGAAAGCACTGGCTGACTTGTATCTCCCCCAGGACGTCACCCCCCTTCACTGGGTGTATAACCGTCTGAAGAAGGAAGAAGCCGCCAAGCCACCTGTTCACTGCAATGCTGCCCAGATGTCCACAGGGGAGTTATCACCAGAACTAAACTTTGACTTTGGTGACTCACCCTTGCCAAAAGAAGACAATCAAAGGATCATCGGGAAGCTTCATGCTATGAGAGATGTGTTTTCTACTCATGATATGCCATTAAACTGACAGACAACTCACCGTTCAGGGAGACAGCTCGCCCAATACGACCTCAGGACTTTGAAGATTGTCGCCACCACATACAACAGTCGATAGATGCTGATATCATTCAGCCTTCATCAAGTCCCTTTGCGAGTCCAATAGTCCTCATTCGCAAGAAGTCAGGAAAGCTATGACTATGTGTGGACTACCGGAAGTTGAATTCTAGGACAATTCGGGATACATATCCTATTCCAGAGGTTGAAGATCTCTTCGCAGCACTACATGGATCTGCATGGTTCACCCAGCATGGCGTTAAATCGGCCTTCTATGCTGTCCCAGTGGATGAGGAATCAGCAAAGTACACTGCCTTTGTGTGCCCATTTGGACTGTTTGAATACCAGAGAATGAGCATGGGTCTTGTGAACAGCCCTCTAACGTTTCAACGCCTGATGGACCAGTGTGTAGGGGACATGAATCTTAAGGAGCTGGTCGTCTACATGGATGATCTCATTGTCTTCGCTGAAGACATCCCAACACATGAAGATCGCCTCTTCCAGATTCTTGCTCGACTTCGCAAGTTTGGCCTCAAGCTGGACCCTGAGAAGTGCAAGTTCTTCCAAACAACTGTGGCCCACCTTGTTCATGTGTGTTCCAAAGAAGGAATATCACCAGACCCTAACAAAATTAATGTTGTAAAGGAATGGTCTGTCCCAACCAACATCGGTGAGCTGAAAAGCTTCCTTGGGTTTGCAGGGTACTACCGTCGCTTTGTGGAAGGATTTAGTCATCTCTGCAAACCATTAAATGCACTGACAGCCGGCTACATTCCAAGGAAGACCATGCTAAAACTCGGAAGAACAACCTCACCCTGAAGACGCCTTTTGGGGATAAGTGGACAGAGGAATGCCAAACAGCTTTTGAGAAGATCAAGGAAAAACTAACCACTCCTTCTGTGTTAGGCTATGCTGACCTGTCTCCCCCTTTTGAACTCCAAACTGACGCCAGTGGCACTGGACTCGGAGCTGTCCTTTACCAGCAACACTGTGGTAGCCTGAAAGTCATCGCCTATGCTAGCCGAGGTCTTTCTAAAAGTGAGGCAAATTATCCAGCACACAAGCGTGAATTTCTAGCATTGAAGGGCCTGTTACTGACAAGTTCCATGACTACCTGTATGGTTCGGAATTCACAGTCGTAACAGACAACAATCCACTTACATATGTCCTGAAGTCAGTGAAAGTTGATGCCATGGGAAACCGATGGTTAGCAGCCCTAGCAGCCTACAACTTTAACATCAAGTATCTACCAGGAGTGCAGATGACTGATGCAGATGCTTTAAGCCGCTTGCCACAGGAAGCTCAAGAAGAAGATCTAGAGTTTAAACAGGACACTGAAAGAATAGACTGGTTGATTGCTCGGAGCACACCCCTCGATGCTCCAGAATCTGGAGTGGTGGAGTGTTCCTCATGCTCAATCCGTGCATGGTTTGCATGGCTTTGTCAAAACCTCGAAGTTCGCGAAGGTTGTAAGGGGCTTCGTTCATCCTGGCCAGTATGTGGTCTAGCCCGTCTTGAACGTCTCTTAGATCGTCTCAATCCAACGTGCTCGCCGTGGCGCCGAGTTCGGTTCGAGTCTTTTGCAGATCTTTGTTCATGAGATCGACCTCTGGATGAGCTTTCAATTGCAGCGCCCCGTTGGTGCCAATTTCGATTTTGGAATAGTCTCGTCCCAACGGTTCAATGTAATTTTTATCTTGCCTCAATGCGTTGTAATATTCATCTGCGGTCTGCTATAAAAGTTCGTTGTTAACGGTGTCTCCCATGAAGGAGGTGTCCATCTGAGGGTCGGTGAAATCAGTCATCTTGATATTGTCTATTTAATAAATTTTATTAAACGTATATATTTTTTTAATATATAATGTCACAATACGGAAGAAAGCTAGATCCTTTTCGAAGATTAAGAGAGCCTCTCGCCGTCAAAGACGTGCGTCAGTCTGTGACTATCACCAATAATCCGAGCATGATAGATCAAAACCAAACGCTGTTGGTTCGATTCCCCAACCTGGGCGAGTATGACCTTATCGTTCCCGGAACGCTTCGACTGGCGTTTAACATCGCATTGACTTCCGACAACGACAAATGTGAACTCGTGCGGAATATCGGCCGTGACAACGTCAAGAAAAACGCCATCAAAATCAGTGGTAACGAGGTGTTGAGTATAGACGACAACGATGTGTTTTACTGTTATATAGATCTATGGAAAAGCAAGGGTGAACGTAATAATGATGTGTATCAAGGGATCAGTAAATCGACTCGGATGCGCGTCGGTTACGTCTTCACGCAAGATCAGCTCAACAAAATCAACGAAAAAGCCATCGCCGAAGCGTAGGGGACCCGGTTTTGCATGCCGCTTGACTTCAAGCTGCTCACGTTGTACGAGGACATGAAGAAAAAAATACACCTGGATGACACTAGCGACTACCCCAAGGACCACCCGATGCATGACACTATCAATAAAAAAGTGCTTGGCAAGATGAAGGATGAATGCGCCGGCACGCCGATCATGGAATACATCAGCTTGAGACCAAAAAATGTATACCATCCTGAAAGCAGACGATAATGAAATCAGAAAAGTGAAAGGCGTGAAAAAATATGTGGTGAAAAAACAAATCAAACACGCTAGATTCAAGGAAGCCCTGTTCAAGACTCGCACTTTCAAACATCAAAAGTGAGGGACACAGGATATACGGACTGACGATAAACAAAACGTCCCTGTCGCCGATGGACACGATACGTTGGATCGCAATCGACGGAATCAACACGTACGCGTACGGACACAAAAACATTGAACGAAAAGAATAAATATATATATATATCATGTCACGATATCAAAAAAAACCATTTATTACAGCCTGCATGGATACTGGAAAGGCGCGAGCACCATTCACAAGCTTGCCGAGATAGCAAGAGTATCACAAAATGAAGGCCAAAGCGTGGTTGGAAAAACAAGCCTTGTGGCAAATCTACCTACCGGCACCGCACTACGTACCTAGAAGAAAGTTTGACATGTCGACGCCCAAGCAGACCTCCTGTTTCTACCTCACGACAGGGTGAGACGTAAAAATTACAAGTACGCCCTAACCTTCGTTGACGTGGCCAGCCGCTACAAAGAAGCGGAGCCCTTAACCGAGAAAGATTCGACCCAAGTAGCTTGTGCGGTCGAGCGCATATACAAGAGCAGTCTGCTTACATGGCCAACCAAGCTGCAAGTCGATCCCGGACGGGAGTTCATGGGTGCCGTGTCACAACTACTAACCAAGCACGACGTTCAAGTCATCCATGGCGCGGCCGGATTTCATCGCAGCCAAGCCACCATCGAGAGATTCAATAGGACTTTGGACGAGAGCTTATTCGGACATCAGTACGTGCAGGAAATAAGTCTAAATAAACCCAACACCGAATGGGTCGTGTGGCTACCTCAAGTGGTGTCGGCTATCAATCACGAAATCACTCGTCTCAACAATGAAAAAACAGCCGACGCTATTAAATTAACGCTGAATCAGCTGCACCATTACGTAAGGTGAGGTGAGGTGAGGTGAAATTGGGTTTAATGTCGTGCTTGAGAATATTTCGCTCATATGAGGACGCGCATGCGTGTGTATGTGTATGTGCCGCTGTTTGTACTAGCCCAGACTTAAGCTGATTTTATAGTGCTAGCCCACTGAGATAACATGTTGCAGTGAAGCATGAATACCCCACTCAGACACATTATACTGAATCGGAGCCGACCAGTCCTTGTTGTACCCATTAATGCCGGGCGCCAGGCAGGGACCAACAAGTACCATATTTTAACGTCTTTTGGTATGACACGGCCGGGGGGCTTAGTAGTAATAGGGCCTAGACCCAAAGTTCTTACTACTGACTGATAGGGAGTCACGGTGGTTTGATGGTAGAGCGAAGGCCTTGTAATTCAACGACGCGAGTTCGACACGGGGTATTGGCGGAAATTTTTGCAATTGAAACAAGCATTGTCGTTGCTAAGCCAAACAAAGATGGCTGCCGGGATAAGTCTTCCCGGCGTTGCTAGGCGGTCACCCAACCTAGCAACTCGACAGCACTAAGACCAGGAGGTGAGTGTTGTCCATACTATGTCGGATATCTAGTGAACCAGGGAAACATTGATGTGGGATAAATGAGACAAAACAAACTAACAATTTCTCTGGCTGTGGCCTGTCACACGCGGGTATTGAATACAAAGCAAGGCACACAGCCGTATTGTGGTTGCTGGCTGGTTGTAGTGAAAAAGATGTTTGAAACCAGACGCTGAAAACATTTTTAGAAGCCACAATCTATTATTTTAAAATCGGATTACATAAGCTTGGAAAGCGTATGAGTTACATATAGCAATGTTAAAATCTACAAAAACAGTTTGCTTGATGTGCATTGATCTAAACAGTAGCTCTCGCCTAGCTGCTCTCGCCTGACTGCCTACGGTCGGGTTGACCTAATGTGGGCTTCTTGAAAAGTAGTAGTACGTTGAGGGTTTATTATTTTTTACAAGGTTATGTTACCATCAACAAAACAGTTTAAGGTGAATCTTTGATGAGATCTTTGTTCTTGGTAAGGAAGAATTGAATGATGTGTTGTCGACCTTGTTCTTTTTTTTTTCTCGTCTTCGCCGATGTCAGCGGTTTTCCCGAGTCTTGGTTCGAATCTCTTCTTTCAATCGGTGGTATTTCGCGATTTCCGATATCACCAAACGAAACTCTTCCTGCTATCAGTGATCGCGGTGGAAATATGATCATCAATTGGTTTAACTTGGCTTCGGACAGAACCCTGATCTCGTCATGCCTCAGCGCTTTCCGTTGCAGACGACGTGAAATGAATTTAAGGGCTACTCCCGCCAGCCCCAATACCCCGGCGGTTATTTCTAACCCGAGTACGACGGGTGCGGCCACGATGGTGGATAATTAGCCAACGCCTGCTCTGCCTAATCCCATGGTAGCTGCCACGAGAGATGTGTCCACACCGTCGATTGCATTGACTGCCCGATGGTATTTTTTGTGCAATCCGAGTCGCACGTCGCGTTCTCGTTCCAATTGGTGTTTAATTTTGCTGATCTGTCGCAAACGAAATCCATCCACGGTTTCGAGCGTTTGAGCCACTTCGTCCATGGCCGGATACATATATTAAAAGGTAAGAAATAAGCTTGAATTGATCCGCCATCAATATTTGATGAATGTACTTTAAGCTGATGAGGTGCATGTGCTCGGATAAATGAATGTAGTCGAGTAAAATGAGAGGCTCTAGGAAAACCATGACCCCCTCGAGGCTTGTGGTGGGGGCTCTTCCTGGTTGTATAAAAATACGACAACGTTTATAATGATGGCGATAACTGTAGAACCTTGTATCGCTCTGATCCACGTTTCTGGGATTTCATAATTATGATTTTTTTTCAATAGCATCAGTTTATATTCGGGTTCCAGACGGGTGACTAACATATTACCCGTTTGATCTGGTAACGTTGATACGTACACCGTCTTTTCGTTGAATGGACTAAACCTATCCCGTAGAGCCCCATTATTTTTCAGTTCGATGACATCACCATCCTCATCCATGACGAGATAGGGGTAGGTCAGGATGATCCAGTTCAAGTCGACCATGACTTCTCGACGTTGGTACACCTTGTTTTGCAAGTGCAGGACGTACTAGGCGTTTTCCGTACCGGGTTCGTCGAATCCTCGCATGTCCCCGCGATCTGAGAACGCAATAGCGGCAATTTGATTCAGGTTTGACACGTCGCCCATGGTTATGCTCGTATTATGAAAGAGTCTTCAATTGATTCTCAGACATCGCGCTTTAAAGTATCGTAATACTTGTGCACAGCCTGCTTTAAAAGCTCATTGCCCACGGTGTCCCCAATGAACAAGGTGTCCATGGCTGCTGATGCATCATCGTCGTTGTTCAGCTGGTGTATGTCGAAATCGTCAATGGGAATATCGTCTGCCATTTTTTATATTAAACTAATAATATATACTCTCCCAAAAAAGAAACGCATATAGGAATTTCAACTGTATTTTTATGTTTATTTTGAAACATCTTGTAGGCTTTATGAGTCAATGAAATACAGCCAAATTGTACACTGGGAATGCTGACTTATCCGTCTTTGGCACCAACTCGAGGAAAATCAGTTTGAGTGTCACATGGAGACGTGTGGTGGCGCTGAAGTCAATACCTCGTGTGACCACCGTGGGCATCCAGAACTGCACGGCATCGCCTCAGCATCAAACAAATAAGTCTCAGAATCTCGTATTGCCCAATTGCAGCCCACTCGAGTTGCTGAAGTGTCTGGGGCTGAAGGTTACGGCGCCGCAACCGTCTATCCAGGGCATCCCAAAGATGTTCGATCGGGTTTAAGTCCGGTGATCTTGAGGGCCAGGGGAGCACATTGACGTTGTGGTTCTGAATGAAGTCTCCAGTGTTACGTGCTGTGTGGGGCCTGGTATTGTCCTGTTGAAACAACTCCGTCTGGCGATCAACGATTGGAAGGAGGTGTGGGCGTAGGATTTCGTCACAGTACCATTGAGCTGTAAGGTTGCCCTGGATCATCACCAAATCACTTCTCCTACGGCAGGTGATCGCTCCCCACATCATAACACTTCCCCCGGCCGAATCTGTCCACCTGGGGAATGCAAGCGTCGGCGAAATGTTCACGTCGACGTCTGTACAACCGCATTCTTCCATCGCGTCGTTCCAACAGAAATCGTGATTCATCATTCAGAACCAGATTCTACGCCATTTCGGTAGGTTCCAGGCGTTGGTGCACAATTGAACTCGGTAGGTTCCAAACGTTGGTGCACAATTGAACTCGATGTCGACGATGTTGTTGTCGAAGCACAGGGCCAAAATAAGGTCTTCTGGCACGTAAACCAGCCTCTCTCAACCTGTTCCTGACGGTCTGTGCAGAAAGCCTCCTCAATCCGAGTATTGTCGAGCGGTACTGGTCGCCGTAGCTGATATGACGGTTGTTTTCACTTAGACGTGGCATTTTGCGTTCGTCAACAATATTCAAAATACAGTAAATAATCGACAGACAGCGATCAACCTTTTACACCCATCTGATCCCCAACTTTCACGTGCATTGCATGTGAATTGTGTATTCTGTGACACTACACGCCGAAATTAAAAATGATGCTGTTTAATACGGGTATTTTACGGATGGTGCGTTTTGTTGTGACGTTTCAAAACATAAACACCATAGGACTCATAAACAGAGCAAAGCCTTTTGTAAAATGAATCACGCTTTAATTCATTGCTACATGAAATTGCTATTTTCATGATGCGTTTCTTTTTTGGGAGAGTATACTTAGTTTCAATATAAACAATGTCGCAGTATGGAAAAAGCTAGATCCTTTCCGAAGATTGAGAGATCCGTTCGGTGTCAAAGCTGTGCGTCAGTCGGTGACCATCACCAACAATCCGAGCACGATCGATTAAAAAAAACCGCTGCTGGTTCGATTCCCCAACCTCGGCGCGAACGACGTCATAGTCCCCGGCACGACTCGACTGGCTTTTCACATCACGTTGGAGTCCATGAACGACAAATGCACGATCATGAACAACCTGGGTCGTGCCATCGTCAAGAAAACCACCATCAAAATCACCGGGAACGAGGTGCTGAGCATAGACGACAGCGACGTGTTTTAATGTAAATCAACCTGTGAAAAACCTCGGAAGAACGCGATGACATGGAGTATCAAGGTATTAGTCGGGAATAACGACGTATCGAACGAAATCCGTGTGGGGCACCATTTCACGCAAAACCAGCTCGGCAATATAACGGCAGGAGAAAAAGCCGTCGCTGAGACATACGGGAATCGTTTTTTCATACTGCTAGACTTCGAGCTGCTCGAGGGGCACATGCCTTTCTACCAGGCCGTGCTGGGCAACAGGCTGGAATACGAACTCACGTTCAACGACTACGGCAAAGTCAACTTCACGCCAGGCGGCATCGAGGCCAGCTACATCGTTGACAACATCTCGTTGGAGTTCGACATGGTCAAGAGCACGGAACAGGCCCGGCAGATTCGCACCCAGTACTCGGAAAATAGGTGTCCATCCTGTACGACCGCGTTTTGCGGCACCGGACAATCGTCAAGAGCGACAGTTTGTGGAACATCAACCTGAACGTGCCGGCTCAATCGATGAAAGGTATCTTAAGAGGCAGAATACGAGCCATTTCGAAGAGACAGCAAACTCACTTGGAATCCCGAGATCACGAAAGTGGAAGTGACCGTCGAGGGTGTGCCCAACCAGCTGTTCAGCCAAGGCATGCGAGCTTACCAGCAGTGGGACGAGATAAGAAAACTACCGGCCATCAAGCGACACTCGCCTGACGTCAACGACATCGTCAAAGACCTGGGTTTCACCTACGTGATGCTCAGTAGGTACCTGGATAAACATTACGTGCTGAGGCCTGACATGCGATCCACGGACGACTACATGGCAGCGGACGTGTTATCGCCAACGGCAGCGAGGGGATCACCATCCAAATCACCAAAAAAGTTCAAAAATCTGGTCGGCAAGTTAAACGTATATTTGTACGTGATTATGGCCGCGCAACTCAATAGAGAAAATGGAAGATTCGTGCAAGCCATTTATTGATTTACCTAGCGATCCCCACTGCACCATCGTGTGTGGGGAGAGGCGGGTACGTCAAGACGGCATTCGTGCATGACATGCTGGAAGGATTCCTTATCGTGACGTGTTCGACCACATCGTCATTCTCTGCCCGACTTTACTGGTGAAGACCGTTGGTGATGACGCACCCGGACGTGCACAAAATCGATCCTAGAATTCGTCTGCAGGACTGGTTGCGAGCTTACAACGACAAACTGAAAGGAGAATCGACGCTGTTTATCCTGGACGACTCCAGTGCCAACAAGGAGATGATTAATAAACGAGACGCGCTGTCGTACCTGGCCTTCTCGGGCCGACACACGAAGCACAGCGTTTGGGTTTTGATGCAGAAATTCAACTCGGTGCTGAAAGATTTACGGGAACAGATGGGTCGCCCTGCTTCACTCCAAGGACAGGGATTTGTTTGAGTACTACTTGTGAGAGAAAACACGTGATCCCGACCAAACAAGAATGAGAACGAGTGAAGAAACAGCTCGCCAAAACGAAACACGCCAAACTTTTGTTGAAAACTGACCAACCCATGCTAGCTTTTAAGCTAAATTCTAGCAAATTCTAGCATAACTCATGCAAACACGATGTTCGAAACTATCGTTGTGTGCAACTTTACTTTCATCTCACTGTGTTTCGAGTACATCGCATTTTATTTTATTAGACTTAAAAATCGTTTGTTACATTATAAGATGCAGTGCGACGAACAAACAAATGTTGGATAACGAAAATAATAATAATAAATAGGACAAGCGAGAGAGACTGGTGGCGCTCGCGGTCAGCGGCAAAGCCAAACAATACTTGGGTGGAGGGGGCGACCACACTCCCAATAAAATTCACAAAATGCCAGCTGACGAAATCGACAAGCTGTACGCGAGATACGAAGCAAGACTCAGTGCGGAAATGACGAAAACCATAGGGTCTGTCATAACGCAAGTCTACGCCGGCGTAGCGTCTTACTTCCTTCCCATTCCACCGGAGCGTCGACTTTACCTGTGGGATGATCTCGAGAAAGATCCGTTCATCGACCATACTTTGAGAGCATGTTTTTAGCTCCGATGACCGCGGCGATCATCATGGCAAAGCATTGTCAATTAAAAGAAGAAAAAAATATTAATATACAACATGGATGCGCACCCGGAGGAGAAAACGCCGACGGAGGAGGAAGCAACGACGATACCGACACCGATACGACTAGTCACCACCACCAAGAATTCTAAAAAAGTCGCTGCTGGTAGAAAAGATAATAATACTCCGTGGATTGTTGCCGCCATGGCAGCAACGGGATTAAGCGTGTCCGTCGTCGTTATGCTGCTATATAATAATAACAAGCCACCACCAACACAACAGCGGCAGACGACGCAATTAGAAACCTCTCGGCGACGAACCCACCCTCTCAGTTTTACACGCCTTCCACGAAACGGAAAGACCAGGAACTGATTTTCGTGGCGACCGCGTTAGACTAAAATAATTAGACTAAAATATATTTATGTGTGTATATACATAAAGATGGGAAGATGCGCACCGTATAACTACAAGTACGTGCTGCTAGGAAAAACCCAAACCTGCCGAATATTGCGGCATACACATGTCTATACGAAAGAGTTTCGTGAATTACACGTGCGAAATGTGCGGAGTGGGCGTGAAATGCCATTATCGTTATTGCAAACCCCACGGAGCGGACGTGGTACAAAGCCATCTCAACTACTTGACGAAAAGAGACTATCTCAATGAACGCAACCAACTGTTCAGAATAAAAGTCTATCGTGCATCGCTTGTTATTTTTTTTTAAAGTCGGTTGAAAGTTTAACTATCCAACTTACTGACGGGGTTGCTAACATTTAACAGCGAGACATACTTCTCACACCAAACAAACTAATAGAGATTTTAACTCGCAGCCGAACATAGCGATGAAAATCCTATTAGAGATTTGACTTCACCCCTTACTATAGCGAACAACCTATTAGAGATTTGATTTTGCATCTGATTATAGCGAACAACCTATTAGAGATTTGATTTCGCATCTGAATATAATTATTTTTTCATTTAGAAAAAGTTTTTCACACATTGATATTGCAACGATGTTTACCATTCGAGAACTAAAAAGGATTGCCCAAAAACGCGGAGTGATCGGTTACTCCCGTTTGAGGAAACCTCAGCCTTTGAGATTGCTCGGCATTGTCGACGAACTTCCTCAACCCACGGTAAACAGCTCAAACTCCGAGCGAAGGAGCGTGGGCTCCGAGATTATTCGCGCATGAGGAAAGCCGAGCTCGTCGAACTACTGGAGGAACACAAACCCGTCGAACTATGGTTCGTGCGGACGAAGCACGTCGTAGGTAAGTATCTGATAGGCTGGAGAATGGACATCGACAAAAACATGGACGTCGATGACATCAAACCCCCTGATCGCCGACAAAGTCGCCTGGGAACTGAACGAGCTGGGAAGCCTCAAATTTCAACTCACGGTGAGAATGTCGCTGGACGAACAGCAGACGGACGGCACCACCGAGCACATCCAGCATTACTTCAGAGTCAAGCAATAAGTCGCGACTCAACCCGAATCCATCGACGCGTCCATCGACACCTCGTTTGCAAAATTACAAGAATCCCTGGAACGCTACACGCACATGGGTTCGGTCTGGGTCGTGGACACGATCGACACGGTCTACCTGGACATTGCAAACTACGTGCCGTTCAAAGGAGGGTCGTACCTAGACTTGCCACCGTACTACAAGAAAAAACAAGCCATGGTCAACGTCAAAAAATAAAGGCGATGATTGCATGAGGGTTGCGATCAGATCCGCAAAGTTTCCGGTAAAAGCACATTCAGACAGACTTTCTAGCTATCCCGAAGACGATGGGATCAACTGGGACGGCGAACCCACACCCATATCCCAGGTCACCGACACCGAACGACGACAGAGCAATCAATATCTTCGGACACGATGGGAATAAAACGATCGTGCACAGGATCAGCTCTCTCACAAACGAACACGGCAAGACGATCAATATACAGTCAGCTCTCGTTAATCCGACACTCATTAATCCGACAAAAAATTAGGGAACCATTTAAAACAGTGATAATTACTTTCGTTAATCCGACATTCTCGCATTCCGACTCCGACACACCAATCTGGCAACTGATTATTGTAAATACATTGTAAAAACATTCGTTAATCCGACAAGGGAGAGTTCGCACAAACACAACATTGAAATCGAAATGCAAGTTCATCATGCATGCATTCAGGCATAAATTGCCGGCTTGAATGGCAATCGTTCACTAGTTTTCTGAACACAGCAGAGACAGAATCGACTTTCCTTATTTCTACAAGAACGGATACGCGCGTTATGAATGCCATTCTAAATGCACGACTACTATCATTCAGCCAAACGTTACACCACACAAGCATAAGTAAAACATAGCCTGATCTACAGGTTCTCTACTCATTACATATTACAGTACATTTTATCACGTCTTGTTTATTAATGTCTTTAATATGCAAACATAATTCATCAATATTAGTACAATTATAATACCATAAGCACATATTGACAAATATCACACTTCACTCTAACACGTAAAGGTGTATACATCCTATACCGAATCTAGGTGACATATTATTACGATGCATCTTTTCATTAAACACATTTCTAAAACGTATGCATGATACATGATCGTGTACTCTGCATTATATCCTGCTGGTGAAAACAGATTAAGAACAAAATACTGGATGGTGATTTATGCATTTAAACGTTTATCGACCATTTAATTATGACATGGTCACAAAGGGCGTATGGCACGTGGACAGTTGGACTGTACCGGAAACAGATAACGGGGATATGAAAGTCATGTTTCTGTCACATGTTCCTTTCAAGACTAGATCTCAAAGAAGCCGTGCGTGATACACTGTTGAAGAAGGAAATATCCCATGTTTGTATGTGCCGATGTGTCCTGTTCTGTGTACAACTTTTACAATCACAAAAATTACGTGTGACAAATATGGCGACGTCCTGAGTGGGTAATCACATGCATTTGCGTGTTTAAAAAAAACAAAAAAACATTATATCTGTATGATAGAAGCGTTTGAGAATACTGTGCTAAAGGTACATACAGTTTTGTGCTATTCATCAACACGTGCATGTCGCAAGGGGTGAGCAAAGGGGCTGTTTGGTTAGGCACCGACTGGTAGGCACCGTATTTTAATTCGTAGATTCGTAGATTGGCCAGAATTGGTTATTTGTTTTTCCATTATGCAGCAAGAGTATTTCACTGGTGTTTAACAACATTAGTTAATACATTAAATGCTCTCTTAGGTAGTTGTTGCTTCTTTAAGTTAAATTAGTCTTCCACGAATTATCCTACTTTCCAAGTCTGTTCTCGGTCGTTGTCAATGTGATTGCCATAAAATCTTGAATGCCCTTTGCAGTGACGACCCGTCTTCATTATTGACGACGAGACATCGCCATAGGTCGCCCTTTCAATTAACGGTGCGCATGTGTAGTAGGTGTGTAAATCTACGCACATGCAGAAATGGGTTCACTGCTCCATTGGTATTATAGGAGAGATTTCACAATCCACAACCTCATCAGACTCAGTCGTTTTGTGCAGAGCTGCGTCTCAAAAACGTACCCAAACTTCAAAATCCCCTCTCATATCAAGCTTGCAGGTTGTAAAGTAAATGTTCAAAGCGACGTTAAAACAAACGTGCTCAACTTGTTCAAATCTATGTTGCCTCATTATATTTTTGGTGTTGAAGCTACCGTGATTTCTAGGAGGTTAATCTTGGAGTATGTTTATTTCAAACACTGGCGTTTAATCGCAAAGATAATATACTTCTCACAAAACAATAAGCAACAATTATTTTCTGTGTAATATCCTTATCAATCTCGATAGCGATTTTTGCCGACATATTACTAAAGGTAAATATTCAAAGAATTTATTTAAACATATTTTATCAGTGACGAAACGGATGAGGTACAAGTAATCCAACTTAGGTAACCATTTCCCGAGTATTTACAACATGATAAATATACAACAATATGCATGTAACATAGAAAGAAATACAGTACAGAAATGGTAGAGACCTTTGTACAGAGATAGTTATTACGACATATGAAAATATTTACAGCATTCAAGAAAAACGCTTGCAATTTTATATGTAATGCTGAAATGCTTTAAATATTGCATGATTTTAAGTATATGTTAAGTTCTTGCTGCCATTTAATAATAAATCTAAATTTAAAGCATCATCATGTACTTGTAATTTTAAAAGCTTTAACATTTTCGTTCTGTGTTCGTTATATAGAGAACACGCAAACATGAAGTGACAAACATTTTCTCGTAAATTCCCACATTCACATTTTGAATCTGACCTAATGCCAACATTAAAAAAAATCGTAATTCAATTCACTTACATGATATCTTAAACGAGTATTAATAATATTTTGTTTGCGGATACCTGTAGAAACAAACGCTGGTGCCATGACTATAGGTTTCTTCAAATATGATCTAAACGTCTCTGGTGATGGTAACATTCGCTTTTCTAATGGGATATTATTCCATAACACTGTCGTTGATGGGATAAGAGATTGACATCAGTGTTTAAGTCTAGATGATGGTCTTACAAAATTTTCTAAGGTCATAAGTTGTAGAGTCACGACCAGTCTGAGGAAGTAAATCTATCAGATAAGAGGTGCATTACCACATTTTATTTTATGATATTACGTTAACTTTCTTCTTTCCCCTACGTACTGATAATTTTTCCCACCCAGTTTCAAAATAGAGATATTTAAGTGGTGTATATTTTGGTAAACCAGTGACAATACGGGCTGCTTCCAGTTGTAGTTGTTCTAGTCTCAATGTCTGTTCAGAATTACACCCATCCCAAACCTCGCAGGCATATTTAAAATGTGGCCTGATAAACATAATATAAATCTTCATCAAAATTTGTCTACTTAGTAAGAATTTTAATTTACGCTTGGAGTTTATCATCTTCGAGCTTGATATTACTATTTGGTCAATCTGCTTATTCCATTTCCCATCTGCCGAAAACGTTAGACCTAAGTGTTTATGTTCGTTTTACTTCACATTCATCAAAGTATAAAGTTATGTTATTACTTTGTTTCTAAGGGTAAAAATGATAGCTTCTGTTTAGCTTCTGATTATATTTAACCAGCCAGAGTTTTCACCAAGAGCTCAGCTTCTGTAGGTTGGTGTTTGAAGTAGACTCAAGCAGTCTATGATCAACTGATGAAAATCCAAGTTATGTATCATCAGCAAACAGACTTGTCAAAATTTAGTTCATCAGCAGTGTCACTTATGAAAACAATAAAAAAGAAATGGACCCAATACTGATCCTTGGGGAACACCAGCTGTCAAATATACCAGCTTGGACAATGCTCCATTCTCAAAGACAGATTGCCTGCGATTGCTTACATAACTTGATAACCACTGGAGCATGCATCCTTTTCAACCATACATTTCCAATTTACACATAAGCCCCTTGTGCCAGACACGATCGACGGCTTTGGAAACATCACAAAACACCATACAAAATATTTCCTTATTATCCAAAAATAGACATATTTGATTGTACAATTCAAATAATTGATGTACAGTTGAGTGGCCTTTTTGAAAACCAGCTTGATACTGATAAAGTAAATTATTACAATTAAAATAATTATACAAATGTATTGACTACTCTCTCAAATACTTTTCCCGCACAACTTATGAGAGATATTGGTCTGTAATTTGAAACAATGGAGTGGACACCTTTTTTAAATAGTGGCAAAACATGTGCTACTTTCCAATTACTGGGATAAGTAGAGGATTGCAGTGAGTAATTGAATAAGAGACATAACATTTTACTTATTGAATGAACTGTTTTCTTGAGTAACTTATGGCTTATTCTATCTAGAGCACAAGCCTTTTTCTCCGGTAAACATTAAATGATATCAGAAATTTCCTTTTGAGTTATAACGATGTCACATAACTCCTTATCAGTGCGTTTCCCAAAGTATGGTAACGTTTTATTGCCATCTTCTAACTTAGATACAGATTTTAAATATTCATTCAACTTTTTCAAAATGAGTGAATAAGGATGGCCCTTCTTCATTGTCATTGCTTTTTAGAGGCGATATATCTGACGTTACTTCTGATTTAGAATCAAAGAATACATCAAAGAATGCATAACCTTTAGTGACTGTCAAATTGATTTATCTGATAACATTGACAAAATCCACCGAACATAGCCACCCTCAGAAACAACATGCAAAATGTGTGGTATGAATGTGCTCCACTCTTCACACATACATGGACCATGAGCGGTGTAAACCTACCTGTAATCATTCCTCTGGTACAACAAGCGGGTCCTAACTTCATTTTTATGGATGATAATGCCCGTCCATGGATGATAATGCATGAGAAAGAGTTGTTATTGATGTTGTTTAGATCAACAACATCAAACATATGGACTGGCCTGCAAGGTCACTTGATCTTAATTCCATTGAACATGCTTGGGACATTATTGGAAGTTGTGTTTATGGTCTCAGTGTTCACCCCCACCCCAAACCTTGAGTAGGTGTTACAGAGAGAATGGCAGAACATTCCACAACAGCAACTTTAAAGACTCATTTGGTCAATGCAAATACGTGTAGAAGCTTGCAATCGTGTCCATGGTGGTCACACGCGTTACTGAACACTGCTTCACTGTCCAAAACTGACTTGAACCTTAATGTTAACATTTTGCTCCATCAAAGCAGCACATTTTGCACGACTGTTTAACGGGTATATGCATTTGATGATCTGTAAGTCTAATATTGCTCAATACCATTTCATTTCATTTTGTTAATCGTGTGTACATATGTTTCAGCTTTCTCTTCCATCATTCAATGATTTGCAATTCCAATAAATGAAAATGTAACGCGACTAAACATTTGTGTTGCTTAGCTTTTTGTGAGGAGTATAATTTTGCACATAAGAAACTACCATGGCGTTTAAATGAGGAAATACGGTACATCACTTCCGGCTTCACTCCCACTTCAAGCTGACATGCTGTGAAGTAACTGAATGTTTGGAGCGTATATCACATGTCATATGTTTCTGCTATGTCTTTACTTGAAATGTCGTCCATTCGAATCCAGAAAGGTCCACTTTCCATAAAGCAATCGTAGACTGTTGTTTGTGTCAGAGCATAGGACAGACATCTTTCCTTTGATTTGCGGAGGGACTGAGTTAACATTTAGAGTCACAGCGGCAGTATTTCAGTCATACCGTGACTAGAAAAGTTTGCATACATTATAAATACATATTTTCATCATTATAAAATCCAGTCATCAAAGTCTTGTTAAATAACGAGACTGTCACAGATGCTGTTTATTACTAGTTATGTAACCATTAAACATTAATATAAAATCATATTTAACAATACAATACAAAAATGAGGCCGAGATCCCCATACCAGGGATGTTTTGCTCACTTCTGCCTGAGGGTTTGATATTTTAATATCTTTCCATAAACCAGACCATGTGAATACTTGAGTAGTATACTTTAGGGGGGTTCTATTACAGACCCCCTGAGAGTGTTATTTATGGCTAATTCAGCTCCCAGCGACCCCTAAAAATCATAACCACGAGCGGAGGTATCGTTTGAAGTCCTTTTCAGTATCCACATATAGGAGCCTAAATCTCTAGGGCACCGGCGAGTTTCGGCAGCCAATGTCAGAAGAGGACCAAGCAAGTATAGCTTCTATCTAGTTCAAAAACATACAAACATACACACAAACGAAAATCCACTTTTTTGCTAGTCCTGATGTCGAAGGGGTGCCCGGGTTTGGCCGTACAAACTGGTTTGGGCGTTTCTGTCTTCTCGTCAGCCGATGTGCCGGTCGATGCAGAGTGCTTCCAGGTCATGTGGACGACCTTCCAGACAAACACGGCAGCAAGGAAATGGTAGGTTTACTTTTGGGCCGAGTGTAGCACCTGCCCCACCTTCTGAATATCCAGACGAGTTTCTTCTTTTTCTTCCTTTCTATTTCCTCCCGGAGTTCGTCGGCGTCATCATCTTTGCCCAGCCTAGACAAGGTGTTGACCAACATATTCGTAGTTTGCTCCACACGAGTCAACAACATCATGGCGTTTTGCTCCGCACGGGCTTCGATCTTCCCCAGGCAGTCGTAGAAGTCCTGGAGCTATCTCGCTAGGGGGCTAGAGAGTCGACGGTGGATTCAGGAAAAAAAAAGACATACGTGAGCCATGTCACACACGTACAGAACCACACCAGAACCTTCGGCTGTACCCGAGCGACTGTCATCAGACAGATGCAACGACTACGACAAACGGGCAATACGTCAGACAGGACTAGGAGTGGTCGAGCACGTGTGTCAACGCCCTGTGGTGATCGCCACATCCAGACAATCCATCTCAGAAACGTTTTGTAACGACAACAACAGAAGCGACGGCACTAGGAGGACGTGTCAGTCGACATACCCTGTACCGGCGACTAAAAAGAACATGGTATTCGAGCATGTCGACCCTACCGCTAAGTGCATCTGACTCTTCCAAACCGACGTAGTCGATTGACATGGGTCAGGCCAGTTGGACGTTGGCAGATAAGTGATTGGCGACGTGTAATGTTCACCGACGAGAATATGTTTAGCCTGTACAGTAATGACGGCCGGACTCGTGTTTCCTAACGTTTAGCGCACAATTTTTGCATTCAGCAAGTCAGACCATCAGGAGCCGGTAACGTGATGGTGTGGGGAATGATCTGCGGCGATCTCAAAACGAGAACTGTGATTATTCATGGCAACTAGAAAGCTCTAAGATACAGAGATGAAATTTGGCGACCAGTTGTATTGCCATTTATCAAGCAACAACCACGTGGCATTGTCTTCCAACACGATATACAGCAAGGCCTCATACAGCAAACTCTGACAAACATCTTTCTGCAACCTTGTTGATTTGATTAAAAATTCAGACTATGATACCACGTGTTTTTCAGTGTCAGTCAAACGGTACTTTCGACTTTGTATGAAATAAAATTGTGCACATTTGCTGTAGAATTGAATGCTATATTGAAAACAAAACAGATGTTCATGTATATATGTTTTTCTTTTCTTTTCAAGTTTGGTCAAACACACTGTATACTAGTTTATTTCAAGAGGAAGCCCACGAAATGTGTCTAATCCAAACGCGTCCACGCATGTCCACTTTCCACAAAGCAATCGTAGACACCTGTAAGTCTGTGTTGCAACATCGACCATACGATCAAAATGGCTTTTTTAAAACGGGGTGCAGAGTTAATCTGGAGACCCTTAGTGATTTCCGCGGTTCGTAGGTCAAAGCGCCACTGGCTTCTGAATTTAATGTCAGTTTGTTAACGGTGGTACACATGTGGTCGCGGAGCATACATATTAACCAGACAATCCAGTGATTGACAGCATGAGCATCGAACTATAACTGAGATACAATGACATGCATCAACCAAGTCAGCGAGCCAGAGCAACCGTTACTCGTCTGTTACGACAAGCATGGGTTGCTGAATACCAGTTTTACCAGGATCGTCATAGGTATCCTGGTCTGGTTTCTAATATCGATCATAGACGTGGTTGTTTGCCAAGGCCACCCTGTCATAAAAGGGATCATAATATGAGTGGAAATCTCTTCCAAAGTTTGCAACTTGGATTAAAAAACAAACTGCACAAGTTACATTCATTACTTCTCGCACTGACCCTGAAGTCCATACATGGTGCGACCCTGAACATGTCCAGGGCGTCATGGAAAATATAGCTTTTAAACATCTTCAGAATAGGCCGATATACAGCCAAAGAGAACTTCCAGGCAACAAGCCTGGTCCTGTTCTTATTGATAAAACAAATGAATTTATTTATGACATTGAATTTTCTGTTCTTTTTGACTGCAACATGATTGTCTAGATTCAGGAAAAACATACTAAATATGCAGACCTCGCTTTTGAAGTGTCTCGTTTGCATCCCAAGCACACTGTCGTCAAGCTACCCATTGTTCTCGGTGCCCTTGGTTTGGTACCTCCTGATCTCTTGGAGCAGATCAGGAGAGTGCCCGGGTATACTTATGGCAGTGTGTGTGTATCAGAATAATGATACTTTAACCAGTGATATGCATCATCTGAGGAAAACTATCCCGAATGTTGTTAAATTCATAAATACGACGTTTTATGATTTTAAAAAGCGCTACGTTGTACACCATTAACTCACACAGCAGCCTTAAGTAAAACTAAACTTCATTTCGTAATCGATGAGGTATTTACCAGGCGTTTATGACAGACATACGTCTAGTTTTTAACTGGTAACCGACGTATATAACCTTCCCCTTCTGGGTCATTATTGTGGAGGTTTCACAAACATATTCACTTGGATGGATGCATTTGGAGTGGTAAATCAGAACATATAGTTCACATCTTTCACGAAATGATGGAAGTGCATCAGCAGTAAACGAATCAGTAATACTTACCAACAGTGTTCAAAATGTGATCGAAGGTTTGCTCGAAGTATAGCCGTGAACGACGCCAGTAGCTACCTTTATACGGTTACTCTTCAGTTGTCATTTGTTACATTATCGAGTGAACCCGCCCACAACTGTAAATGATTCCGTCACATAACCAGTGTCATTCAACAGACAAAGGGGAGAAAACACGTGACGTCCTACTGCAAAATGTACAGGTCTTTGCAAAGCCGGGATTTGGCGTTGACTTGATTGAAATACACATGCATTGCATGATCCATAACGCTTTTTAATGTCCTGTAGATAGGCAACTACTCGTAGCTCTTTTGTTGACTCATGTTCAGTTGGCATAAACGATTTCTTGCCCTTAGATTTATTTTATCTGATATCAGCTAGATGTGGTGTACATATGTCATTCCAACTTGTCCCAGTTGGTTTAAAGTACTTTTCTGAAATAGTGATACACATTTCAGATCATACGTTAGCACGTATATTTCACAAACGGCAGCAACTGTCTTTGCACACGCCCGTAGATGGGATTAAAGGAAAATATACTTGCTATTGAAAAAAATGTAATTCTTCTCTTTATCTTCTCACCATTAGGACGTTATATGACCCCATTTGACCCAGATGTATCTCTAAATCAATACACCCAAAGGTTACAGAGTCTTGACCAATATTGAATACATTGTTTAACAACAGGTAATTGTCATAATATAATATAAGATAATCAACATTTGATGTATTCGTCATGTTTTCTTTTCATTCTTGTGAATGCTGTTGATTACTTTCTGCTAGCTAATGAGATTATATCTACTATTGCTGTAATTATTAACAATCAAAATCGTTAAAAGTGCAGTTAGATATTGTTACTCAGTGGATCAGTGTGCTATCGATATTCATTTTCAACTTCCTGGGAAGTATGCAACTCAAGTTGCCTTGGCGGCGCTTTAATGTAAACAGTCCAATCCAATTCATCTGAATAAGTACCCATTCTACAGCCGTTTGAACAGAGACAACACGAAAAAGGTCACTTTCTTAAGGTGAACAGGTGTGTTACACATGCTTGTATTCGCAATCATGAACTACCTTGTACTGCCCATTTGCTACATAATTCATTTCTCCAAATGTGAAGTTTCCCGGGGTTTTTGTGTTCAATGTATCAGTTCTGTGCACAGGGTTAGCAAGAATGGTTTATTCGTCAGTGTTGAGGGGATGAGAGAGCGGGTGAGTCTAATTTTACGCTATATCAGGCACAATTCGATAAAGGACAGCCAGCATTGGACACAAAGTCATGTCAGTGGTTAGTAAGTGAGGCAGCGGATGAGTCAGTATGTATTTATATCTTAATCACAAAACGATAAAGGACATCATGTACTCGTTTTACTCAGAATGCTTGATAAAACCTACTTAAAGGAAAGCATGCAGATATTTTGATATCCCATAAGTACCAGCACTGTTACGACGTAAATTGTAATAAAAACGCAAATTGTAATACTTGCAGCAAATTGTAATACACTTGACGTAAATTGTAATAAAAACGTAAATTTTAATAAAAATTGACGTAAATTGTAATACGCAAATTGTAATAAAAATTGACGTAAATTGTAATAATTTTCGTTGCGGTAAAATGCAATAAATATTTACGTAAATTGTAATAACAGTTTTAATCACTCGTAAATACGAGGGTGTTTGTTTATCGTTGCATTTCATACATCAAATAAGCTTGTTAGGGCGATAACTCAAGAAAGAAATGATACCAAGGTATATTGGCGAGATTCACCGACACAAGTGAAATGAGTGACCTTGAGATATATTTCAAGGTCACAGCAAAAATCTGAGGGTTTTGCCAATATAAAGATTGTTAGCGCGATAACCCAAGAAAGAACTGACAAATCTTAGCCAA